CCATGGAATTCTAGGTGTCATAGCTGTTATTCTGGCCTCAGTTAAAAAATATTCAAAGAGCAAGGAGGAAAAGAAATACTAGATAGTTATCATAAACTCATCTTTAAATTCAATTCCATCCAAGCTAAAAAGAATAAAAAACAAATAATTAGTCTAGTTGGCTTAAAAAGTGATTAAATAATCATTATCTATGGTTTATTGGGGAAATGTTAGTGAAGTTGGAATATTTGTAAAAGCATTGTTAAAGTTATTTAGCACAACTGAAGTATGACTTGTGTTCGCACCTAAGAAGTAGGCTGTCTAATGTGAACTGTACGCTACTGTCAGGAGAAACCAACAGATAGTGGTTATGGTGATAATTGCATTTTAGTTTTCCAAAATCCATCTCTGGCTACAGTATGTAATATGATTTAAAAGAGAAGAAATTGATGACAAGGAGACACCTTAGGCTATTGGAATAGTTGAGTTTACAATTATAAATGAAATACAGGAAATAAAATCAAAAGAAACTGTGGAATAGCTTCTCTAGAATCTGGTTTCCACTTGGATTAAAGAAATGAGAAAAAAAGGAGGAATCAGTGGTCACTTCTTTTTCCAGCCTACCTGCCTTGGAATGATGATAATACTCATTAATCAAGGGGAAAAGAAGACTAGTTCTTATTGAGGACTGGTTATATCTGACACACACGGGTAATATTATTGAGGCTTTATTTACAGCAACCTATGAAATAAGTAGGTGATGTATTCATTTTGAAGATGACAAAATTGATGTGCAGTCAGTATTGCAGCCATGATCAGATTTCAAGTACATATAATTCTAGAGTCCTGCTTTTTTTCTCAATGTCAGCATTTCTCATTTGAAGGAGAATTTCATAGAACACTTGAAAAAGATCTTGACACTGAACTTCAAAATGTTGGATTTGATGGACAGAATGGACACTCATATAGAGATAGGCAAGTATAGCAGGCAATTATCTGGAGACCAAGAATGTAGCCAGGATTAGGGAACATCCTCATAGAGGAGATAATTAAGCCCTAACAGTGTATGACCTCCCAGGGAGAGAATATAGAGTCAACAGGGATAGGACCAGAGTCTTAAGAACAGTTTCATGTATGAGGACAAGCTAAAGTTCAGAAGTCAAGGAATGAAACTAGGAAGGAACTAAGCAATAAGCAGAGTACTAGAGAGTAAAATAATGGAACAAAAGAAGAATAACGGAGAAGAAGTGTTAAATACCAAACTTTTCCAAGTGGGCAAGTAGGATAGGAACTAAGTAGAGAGCCCTTGAAATGTAGGTCAGTAGGATCT